GAAGCTAAGCTGCTTGTCCACTCACAATATGGGCTTTTGGTGAGACCTAGTAATCATTCGAGCTGTAAACAACTCATGCTAATCTACGTGAAACCACAGATTTTTAGAAACATAGCAGAGACAAAACCAAGAGTTTCCAGTGACTAAAAGTATTTCAAACATTTTTACACAAAAACAGTAGTGTCCACTCATAAAACACCATTAGTCCACATACTAAACACAATTTAATAACGGTAAACTACCTAGAAATGCAGCAACCGCATGACGCGCGTTCCTTCAATATTCAACACAGTCAAATAGAATGAGGACAAAGGAGTACAACATTTGTATTTACTCTGAATAGAACAACCTTCGTAAAAGACTAAAATTTTATTCAGTATACTGAAAGGAGCTGCTATAGAACGACAAGTTAGTGACTCATTGTAATGTGATAGGAAATATTGTAAAGGTATTTGAAAACTGTTAAAACTAATTGTGCTATGTAGAATTTCGTCCATCCTTTAAGGCACCACATTTGATCTTGAATGCGTTTGGCCTACAGTCTTGCAGCACTTGCGCCGTTGTCTGTGTACAAAAACCTTCATAATTTACAGCTACCAGTCCACTCAAATCAGAAATCGAAAAAACTAGTGAGTTTGAAGCCAAATTTGGAAGAGAATTATGTGTTGAAATGATTTTGATCGAAGTTGACTAGTTGTTGATAGGTATGCGCAAAACAATGTAACAAATCGTGGCCTTTTCTGGACGCATGTTCGGCGCCTTCAGATAGGGTGTGTCCAGTGAAATCTGATGATGTTAACATTAGTGTTTAAGATTTACGGAACTATTTCTCCTAAGGATTTATTTACGACTCCAGGCAAATCTCAATAAGTCATGTTTTATTTAGTTCACTAATTTGTACTTCCTTATGGTTCTTACATTGCTTATCTTCGATTTTTTATAAATGGCTTTGTAGCGGTAAATAAATCCCCAAAATAAATAGCTCTAAGTTTTCGACATTGGATGCTGACCATATGTTTTAGTGGATTCATCTAGCTGAAAGCAATCGGTCATGCATCCGCACCAGATCACGTGTGGTAACACCGTTCTCAACACCGACCGCTATCGCTAGCCAGATTAGATTAGAGAATTCCGATATATTGGTTATCGCCAAATACACTCTTCCAATTTTCTCGACTCTGTCTTTTGATTTCTCTGAATGGGAACGAAATATATTAGAAGGTGTTACTGGTAAAAGCGTTGTCAAACACTGAATACCTGTGTCATCTTCAGCTTTATTCAGAAAATATTTTTTGGTACAATATAGAATTATCATCACAGGGTATTTCAACAACTTACTTAGGCAATAAATCAAAAACAAAGACAAGAAAAGGAAAAAAAAGTTAAAAAAATGGAAAAACTGTATAATTTTTCAAATTAAAGATATGTTAAGAATACAGGTTATTGACTTGGTTAACTCCAACAATCTGTTCGTCAAACAGTATATTTGCTCAGTAAGGTATTACAGAACATTTATACTTTTGCTTGTGTGCATGGATTTTAATGTAATTACGTCTCTTTCTACCAGAACATATACAAGAAGAAAGATAAGAGTGATGTGGATGGTTAACGCCTACCGGGAGTCCGCACGACTTTAGATGTTTATCCACAACCATATTACTTGTGATCTCGAAGGGTTCACCACACACCTTGCTAACTGCCTTCAGCACTCTCCACAATACAGCAGTCTTTTCTCAAAAGCACGGGAAAGAATAATGGAGAACGGTAAAGAATACTAGGTAATGTGCAAGAATTGACAGATCGTGAGAGTAAATGACGAGTAATCCCAAGAGCATGCAGTCTCTTTATGTAGTAAGTCAGACGCTAAACCTTATCCGATAACAATAAAACGTGAGAAGATCAAGAGAGATCAGAGGAAAAGGTAACACTAAGATAATTGACCTTCGACACTGTATTTATCAAAGAGTCTCCAATGGTACAAGCATTATGGTTTCTTAAAACGGTGCTTGGATGCCGTTTATGTCTCATGCTAAAGTTAACAGCTTGACATTTAGACGGATTAAGTATGAGACCATTACCAACAGACCAACAATCAAAAGTGTTTTCTGTGTATGATGGCAGATCATGCAGAAAAAAAAGAGGAAAGAAGAGGTGAAAGAACAGCTCCTTGTGATACACCTTCATGAGAGAGTAGAGACTCTGAACACTTTTCTCCAAATACAGTGCACTGTTCCCTTCCAGAGAGGTAGGAATATAGCTAGTTGGTTATTCAGCTGTCAGTGTTGACACTGATTAACTTGTTAATTGAACATTGTCTTGATACAGAATCAAAAGCTAAAGTATAGTCCGGAAAAGCGTATCGAACATACTTCTTACCCTTTTCTAATTTGAGCAGTATATTGTGATGCAGAACAGTGACAGCATCTAAGGTGCTTCTTTTGCATCTGTAAGCGAACTGATACGGACCAATATGCTCCTTTATCGCAGGCTGAAGTTGAAGTACCAATAATTTTTCCATTGTTTTGAGGAAGGGTGAAGCTATTGCAATAGATCTAAATTTCACATTCTTATCACCAGATACTTTCTTGGATACAGGGATTATCTTCATCATTCTCCCCATTTCGAGTATGAGATTAGATGAGAACGATCTGCTGAAGATAGTCGTGAATGGATAACATTGGACGTCAGTACATTTCTTAGAAAAGAGGTTCGGGATACCATCAAGTCCTTAATATCGGGATTAATAAGTTAACTAAAGACATCTTCAGATATCAGTCTCAGTGAAACTAGGAACACAGTTATTATTTAAACTTGTGGATAAAGGGAGCATTACATCTGTTGACTGGAGTAAAAAAGACTTAAGTCACAAATATTCAACTGGTTACCGCTCCTAATCTGTCTGTCACCTGCAGGTTCTTTAAAGAGTTTCCAAATACTTGAAGACTTTTTGCAATACAACGGTTTTTCAGTAAACATGGAGTTGAGACGTCTAATCTCTAGGTTTATCAGACCATTTAGCTCACAAACTTCATTAGAGCTCTTCTTCTTGGACATTCTTTCTTTCACCCTTCGTCACTGCTTTAGCTGTGAAGATGTAAGTCGATCAAAACTTACAAAAATGGTTTCAGTGGGACAACAAATATCAAAACAAAATTTAAGGTAACAAGTGATAACGTCAGTAGTGATTTGCAGTGAGTCATCTGTAAATAATTACCAGTTAGTCGTATGAAACATGTTTTGCAGATTTCGGATATTTTCTTCTAAGTAATTCCTATATATGTCCTTCTTCGTTTGATGTAAGAGTGTACTCGTTCCATGCTTTTCATATACTTTAAGTAGAACTGGAATTATACAGTTATCAGAGCCAGACAATGGAGCACGTTTACGAGTCACATATATACCCACATCATTAATGAAAACGAAGTCTAAATGAGCATCCAAACGGGTAGGAAAATCTACTACATTTTGGTGACTTAGTGACGTAAGGAAGCTACAATCACATGAATTGAAATCACCACATACAACTAGAAGTGAATCAGTGAAGGCAGTAACAGCGAACTCAGTGAATTCACCGGCGAAAAAAGATAGCGTAGATGATGTGCAGTCTGAAGTCACGTAGATATTGGTAACATAAACATATTTGTATTTATTCAGATGTTTTGGATGACATCTTAGAGTTAGACAGTCGATAAAGTCATTTTAAAAATTGAAACACACAAACGAAGATCGACACCAGTTCATGTTTTGCAAACGTAGCTACACTGCCGCCACACCTCTTTTTGTTGTTTGATCGATCCTGACGATATATTATGAAATCACGTAGTGATACTAGACAGTCGTCCCGTAACTCATTTGACCATGATTCTTGGATTGTGATGACACCATAATTACGATACATAACTTGACTTAGTAGGAATTTAAGATAGTCCACTCTGTTGATTAGTGACTGGCAGTTGGAATTTAGCAGCTCGGGAATCGACATGCGATTAATGTTCATTCTCTTTAACGCATATTGCCAACCACCGCGATGTCGTTTGTAGTACTTTTTTGCAACTTGCACAGCGAAGGGTCGTAGGCTTTTCATAAAAGCGCCTGTATATGTTACGCGATTGATGGACATAATAAGACGTTAAAAGAAACGAAAAAACAGATAACTTGTTGAAATAATTAGATGGCAGAAACAGGTAGCCCAGATATTTAAGCAGGCCGCCGATGAGGCAGATGTCGCTATCCTCACATCTATTACAACAACATCGCAAATGCTAGTAGGGCGTTCTTCTACTGCATGTCATCAAAAAGTGACTAGTCTGGTAGGATAGAAATATGCGAACTACGAGTCGTGTATGCATTGTTAGGTATAACATCGCGCAACGGCACTTAGTAAGCTGACTTAATTTTCGCTATCAGTACTCATGTTATCAGTGCATCCGTCCTCAAATTCCTTGCTCAACAACGCTAAAAGACTGTTTACACCTTGCATCACCAACGTCTTACTCGGACAACAGAACATACAAAGTTTGGCTTCGAGTATTTTTTTAATTAATGGGATTCAAACAAGTACACATACCATAGAATGAATTTTGGGACAAATCACAATAGACTGATTTCGACGAAAATAGAAAATCTCTCGATGGTCAAAATTCCGAGTAGAATCGGCTATGTTGGTGGGATTTTGAAGGAAAAATTGATAAAATACACAGGATGATCACAGATTTTGCAACAATCTAAGACGTGAATACCACAGGACGAACTTAAAGAAAACGCAAAACGTTAACCAAAGTAATTCGAGCTAAAGCCGATTAGGTATGCTTTCATTATATACTCAAAAACAAATTTTATTTACAGCCAGTATGAAATCCTCGCCTTTTTAAAGCACGCGCTTATATCTATGTGATTGGTCGATTTCTGCAGATTATTTCTACTGTTTAGAAATTCGTAAATTCTACTGATAAAGATACCGATACAGGTAATTTGCTTTTTGTCTCAAATTTATGTTTATTGAATTTGATATTTCTGTTGTCATGACTTGTTGTACAGAGTAATGGCGGATGTTTTGGACGTGAATAGTGGATCGGCAAAAGTGCCCGTTCTTTTTTATATTTACACAATTTTTGATAGTTTGCCAAAAAAGGTAGAAGAGCTAAAAAAACGGTTAAAGATAAAGATGATCCAATTTCTAATGAGTTTGATCTACATAAAGCTAGTGATATAAAGGTAGGTTTTTTCGTGATTCATGTGAATAAGAAGACCACTAACCTTCCGGAATGTAAAATAGGCGGTTGGAACAAGGGTGAAATTTCGCACAACGTATTTTTTGGAAAGTATCTATACATTTTAGAGTGATGGTATTTACTCATAATTTTTTTCCAGAAGGTATGTACTGTACAGATATCTCAACAAACACTTTCACAGAGCTGATGAAGATACACTAGATTTTTGCAAAGCTTTACGTAGGGAAGGTAAAATTATTCTTTAACTTTATGAAGGATACAATCTGGAAATTATCTTTTAGAATCTGATGAAGAACTCGGTAATCTTCTATTTATTTGTTTACCAATAAACAGAGATACCGATTGTTCCTGATTTAAGTAGTGTTGAGGACCAGTCCACCGCATTTCAGGGTGCGGTCGCACCAAGGTACATGAATTTTCTGTCAATTGCCTTATCAGTTTCTTGTATGTGTTATTAAATACCAATGAAATTATGAAAGTTAAAATTTAATTTGTAGTGTATCTTTTAGGACTAGAATCTTTTGATATTTTGACTCATGAAAGTTTAAACGAGTCTGCACCAGCCTTTATTTTTAACACTTACTTATTTATTCCCATCCCTTTCGAGATTTTTTTGTAGGTAGATTTTTCCATATTCTGTGTGATCTTCACATGGTCATAAAAAAATTCAGTCATCAAAATAGTATAAGAACAGTGTTTGTTGTCGATTACTGATGTACAAAAGTACTTTTTGTGTATATTTTGGGGAGTTCACTTGCTCATTTGTTAAGCTCTAATGCCTTGTGGTTAAGATCTGAATTGACTGAAAAGAAATTTATTAGATCGAGTATTGGTCCCCATCACCAACTTTTTGTACTCTTCTTCCTATATATCCAAGCTTACTTCATATAAAAATTATGCTTAATGGGCTTCTTTTGATTGTCTAACGGATAATTTTCCGTTACTTCAGCTTCCGATTTGAATAAGTTTACAAAGCAGTCGATGCCACTTGCTACTTGTATATGTTAATGTAGATGGTTGCTTGGTGGGCGTTATGAATAGGTTTCGTAAATAGATTTGGTAGGGGATTTTGTGATTGGTTTAAAATAGCTATCTGTAGAAGGCGGGTAGGGTAGAAGTATTAACATCAAGGTTGCGGGACAAGATGACGAGTGACAATTCAAAAATAAAACGGGGTAAAATGATGAGATTATTCTAGTTAATGTTCATAAAAAATTCGACCATGAACTAAGTAGCAACACTTCATAAACGTCATATTGTATTGGATTTTTGTGTAAATGAATCAGGGATCTTATCGGATGAAAATTTGAGGTAGTCCAGTGTTGTACTCAAATGTGTTCTCCATTATGAGTTCTAAGGTCTGTTATGCCATCCACTGATCAATCCATGTTATGTTAACTTTTAAAGTGGATCTACGCTATTTAAAATTATACTAAACTAACACGCTATTAGATTAACAAAGTGGCAACACGCTTACATAATATAAGATAGAAATCCAATGCACTTTTGCGCCGCAAGATGACCCAGGGTTCACTGATTATTTAGGAAGAACCTTATATCAAAGTTCCCTTAGATATGAGAATTGGTCAACTTGCTAATCAAATTTACTCAATGGGTTTTGTACAAGCGTTTAGTGGACTCATTAATTCCTTTGTCTGTACCGTACAACAATATGCTCAAACTTCCTTAATATTAGAACCATTTTTGGTATTTTTAAACAGCCCGGTAAAAGGTTTGACAGGCTTATCAGTTAATATGACGAAACAGTAATAAGATGGATGCAGTTTATTTTTCTCTAGCCAAAGTTTAATAATACAAAATATGTTTTTAGTCTTTAAATAATCATGTCTAATAGAGAAACATGGCAACGATTCTTATTAATTCTTCATTGAATATTTTAACCAAGAATTTAGCTTTTAAAAGCTTGATTAATTTTGAGATCTACCTATGCTACTAAAGTTCAGAAATAACCAAAAAGTTGGTGGTGGGATCGCAGTATCAAATCTTAACCGATTCTAACATAAAAACTTCTCCCAGCATATTTGTCATTCATCCAACTGGTTTTTAGGTACATGAGGTTGTATATAATCTCATGACCAAAACATACACTAAAATGGATTTGCAGTGAGTTGTTTCGGGTTAATAGATACATGTTTATCTGTTAATGAACACAACATATGCTTTCCACTGGCTTCTATTTAATGATCTGAGCCATTGTATTTGGAGTTAATTTTGAATCAAATGTAATCTACTTCTTTGTTACTGTTAATTGATCGATTTATGGGTCGGCAAAACTAGTGAATTTCATCGTCTCTTTGCTTCTATCTACTGCAATGGATATAAATTTTAGTTATAATAGCTGAGAGGATATCTAAATTCTTGAACCTGAGGAACATCGTGAAATATATATTTAATATTATACACTTCTATTGTTACATATGTTAAAATGTATAAGGCTAGGTTGAGCTAATATATTAAACAGAAAAGGTTATAAAAGATTTAAAACAAACAGTGTTTATAAACGACACGGATCGTTGGGCCTTAAATTTTATTCCTATTCAAGCTCATCTTTATCGGTAAAGTAGATCTTCTGAGCTTGTAGAACACATTTACTGGTCGCGTAGTACATTAGTTCATGGATCTATTTCAATTTTTACACCACTAGGCCTTGGCCACCATAGCAGAATTGTTTGAAAACAGGCCTTTATGTACTAATGTATATACACTCGGATGGATACACGGTAACCGGCAATGTTGTATAGCAGGGTTAACTAAGTAGATTGGATCTAAACTAAAGACTTGATTTTGAGTTTTCATTGTTGAAAGGAGTAAAAGTAGGATAAAAAAACCTCTAAGCATTTCACTTCAGTTAACGGGCAAGTGTCTTTTCAAATAGAATGAGGAAATGTAGCTTTTTTAATGTATGCACATAGCTGGACTTAGACATTTTTCATCTATTACCTCATATTTGGTGAATTCATGAAACTTATCTGACCCATTTCTGTGGTTTCGTTTGCTTTAGTGTGGTCACAAACAAAATTCCAGCGTACTGTGAACTTACTCAAGATCTACTCAATCATGGCACTCTTCAGTTATTGGTAAGATAACATTTTTAAAGTGAAGATAGTGAACTTTTTAAAATATTTTTCATCATAATCCATCTTTTTTTAGGACGGTGATATTAACTTGAGGGTTTTGACGAAACATTTATTCTCTCAATCTGAATTGCAAGAAGTAAGAGTATAATTATTTGAACGATTTAAAAATCTTTTTAATTGTCACAGATTGATGAAACATGGAGTTGGGACTTTTTGTTCTCTAAATTAAAGATACTGAAATAAGATTGTAAACTAAACTTATTTATATACTTCATGTTAACAGATCAAACCGTTTGTAACAGAGATACAAAATATCGAAATAATATTCTCTTTACAGTGTTAATTTTGGCTTTCACGTAACATTTACCACGGGATATACTATAAACAAAAATTAGCTTGTATTATTGGTCAATGGAAGTTACAAACTAACCAAGTGAAGCGTAATCAAAGATCCAACCTATTATTTTGGGGTCTGCTAGCTAGTCGTTATTTACGGTTGGAGACCTTGGATGACGTGGTTCAATATCAATCGCAGTAACGCATGTCTATTAATTTTCTTTCTCACTTCAGATTTTGACTTAAGCGATCGTTTTCACGTATTCTTTTTTTACCCGTGCTTTTTATCCTATTTTCACGAACAGTGATACTAACTTTTGGGCTTATTAGATTTTTTCCTATTGATTTTGTCTTCTTGTACTGGTATAAAACTTCACAGATTAGGTCTATGGATATTTGGTCTAGATCTTATATTGTTTATAAATGACTGATTAACGAAGGAGTTTTTTGAGAAGCCTAAATAACATCAATAAATTATCTATCAGTGAAAATGTTGAAATAAAAACTGATAAAGGACAAACGTTTAAAATTTACTAACAGTAATTTCACAATGGTGATAATATTTAACATATTTTATCTCTGATTAAGCCAAAAAACAATTATTGACCGTAATAAGATGGTTCACTAAGTACGTTTTTCAACCAACTTTGCTTTTATTTCCTGAGTGTTTCAATCTTCTTCTTTGCAATTTAATATTTTTCCGTATTTGTTTGAAATCTCTACCAATAGTGGCTAAATCTAGCAATAAAATTAGCCCCAGAAATATAAAAACCATAATGAACATAATTGAGGATAATTTTGCTGCAGATTCAGCTTCTTTTGGTTCAGTATAAATTCGTCCAGTAAGGCTCACAGGAACTTTCTCAATTCTTGCTATAAAAAGTGGATTTCAGAAAAAACTGTCTTATTAGATTAATAAAGTGGATGATTGAAATAACAGTAACTAACCTTAGAAATGATTGACCATTGCAGTTTGGTCATTAAATCTCGTACCAGGCTATCTATTTTCAGGTCTGCTTTTTACGAGCTCAAGTAAGACGTCGGGTTAATATTGAAGCTAATACTTTAGTTACTACACTGGTCAAACTGAATCCTCTGTGATTATCACGAGAGCTTTTACCCCCTCCTGTGAACTGGAATGATCAGTGATCGAGACTATTCAGACGGGATTATACTCGGTTCTCAGGTTTCAGCTAAGATCTCAGTCAATGTAGCTGCTAAAACTGGACCACCATCCCTGAAAATCCCGGGATTTGGTTCATCAGACTCTCCTGATCTCCCTCCATTTACATTGCTTGTAGTCTTCACAACCTCACTAAGATTTGAAGGGCTTGCATCAATTCACCACTCAGGTTTCTTCCAGAAGTCTGAACAGTTGTCTTCTGTTATCTTTGACTGCTGCATTTCCTATCATTTCTACTGTTTTTGCTACTGACGACCATTACATATGCTTTTTGTCAGCCCACTTTTAAGCTTCCTCCGCTCCACATAGTGTTCTGAGCCAGGAGTGACAAGTTTCCGAGCATAAACCAGTACCGTAAACGCCATTAGGATCCATTCTTTTTTTCAACCTTTTGGTTCAACTTATCTGCAGATACCACTGCTGTTTCCCCAGCTTTTTTCATATCATGCTAAGCTGCCTCAGGGTGGATATCACTTTCACGGTTGACCAACTGCTGCTCTAGTTATTCCTGAAATATATTTTTTACTTTTTCGTTTTTAAGTTGGACTCTTTTTTGTATATATCATTCCTAAAATATCTATTTATTATGGTTGTTTTCCTTCATACGATTTTTCTCTCATTTACTTCCCTTTTACATTCACACACCACTGACATGACTGTCAGGTTTTGTACCCTTTTGCTCATATTTATAAATTGCTTTGTATTCTTGTTGTATGTATGGTGATTTCTCTAAAAAGAAGTCCCAATACATATGTAATCTTATTTGTCGTTTATGAGATGTATTCACTTTTAAGTGCTGAACATTCAAAGAATAGTTTTAATTACTCTAATAGTTATTAATTATTAAGTACTGTAACACAAATGAATACTAACTGAGAAAAGAAGTCGCGAACTGATGAATTATTGCTTTTCTAATTAATACATTCTTATCACAGGTAAACACTTGGACTTGACAGGCTATAAAGTCATCAATATGTTTAGAAAGGTTACAGAGTTTTCCTGTATAAAGTTGTTCGATGAAAACGAGTTATGGATAAAATAGAATACCTAAGGGTAGCTTACTTCTCGCTGTATTTTATATGGTCTTTGTTCCATAAACTGGAATAAAATTGTGGCTTATTACTGATAGCTACAATTTCTTAGTGTATACCTCTCGAACTAATTATCGACTGCAAGAAACGTTGTATGATTAGTAGTCAGTGAAATATACTATTACTGGTAAACAGTGAATCACTCAAATTTTCATTTGTTTGGAAAAATACAAATGTACTGTTAATTATTAATGCAAAAGCCTATTGGATCTACAGAGGGAAAT